CATACTTTAATATATAACTAATACAGATAGTGTTACAATTTTATTATGTTTTTAGTTAACTTATTTAATTAAGTTGTTTTTAAAATAAATTACCTTATTGTTGTAAAATTTATTCTTAAAGTTTGTTGATATATAATAATTTACATTGAGGTGAGATGAGTTTATAAAAAATAATAATAAAATGTATATAATCAGAGTTTCATTTTATAAATTTAATATCTTTAACTAGAGTTTATCACTTAAATAAATATTAATTCAAAGAAATTATGGTTTAGTATAAACAATATAGTAATTCAAAGTTTAATGAGTTGGTTTTATCGCACAGTACAGTCGACCCCCCTATAACACTGTTGATTATTTCGTTTTATATGAATTCCATGTTGTACGAATCACTTAAATTTTACAAATAAAGGTGCTGGGTTGTGAACGGCTCACGTATTTCTAAAATCTAAGTACTCGTACAACATGGAATTCATATAAAACAGAATAATCAACAGTGTTTTGGGGGGGGTCGACTGTATAAATTTGATTTGAAGAAAGACACTTTTTTAATATTATTATTGTCACTGTACAATTTGAGTTAAATTCTTATACTTTATAATCTTTTACATTTTTTTTTTAATTTTAAAAACATAAGTTTCATTTCAATTCAATTACAACATAAATTTTAAAAACTATATTTTTATAGATTTCACATTAACAATTTGATAAAATGGATGAAATAATTGAATATAATTGTGATATATATATAATACCAATAATAGGAAAAAAAGACATTTGGTATATCAACAAACATTCTATATGGTCAGTAAAAAATATTTATGTATGAATCTTTATGTTATTTTCTTATTAAATATAAAATAATACTAATCCTAATTTTTATTTATATAAAATAACAAAATGCGATTCTAATAGATTTTGGAGCATTTCGAGTTATCGACAGTTGGCCATAAAAATATTACACCGTTCCATAGAAGCTGTAATAGACATTTATATAGATTCTGTTAAAAAGTATCAATTATCAGTGACAGATGAATCGTAAGTCGATTTTACTACCAAAACTAAATTCATGGATTAAATTTTATAGATGAAAAACATTCAATATAACCGGTTGGATTGAACATAGTAATTTACAAAAGTTATTAAATTATTTCATAATGTATAATGAATTATTTTTATTTAAAGGTGGACAAATAGAAAAAAAAATATTTTTAAAAATTAGAACTACCATTATTTAGACATCGAACTTGTTTTAGTGTATAAGATTGAATAATAATAAAAAATCTATTATTATTACAAATATTTTAAAAAGCATTGTTCTGTTTACGATATTTAATAAATAAGTAACAAATATAATTTAAATAATTATTATATTGAACTATTTCCCTATTTTACTTTAAGTTGTCGTGTTTTCATTTACTTGGATATTAGAACAAATTGCAAAAATTATTATTGCAAATTAATTTTATAATAATTAGAAAGAATATATTAAACTTTGTCTTATTGTAAAAATAAAATTAATTTTGTGATTTGAAATAATTCTATTCGACAAATCTTCATTTGCAATTTTTAAAATGTTAATGTAAATTTTATTTTGTGATCAGTATGGCCCAAACCGCTACTACTCATATCTATTAATTAGTACAGTAAACAGAGTAAAATTAAGTTAACAATAGCCTTACCTTCTCCATTTGTACTAAAAAATAATACAGATAAAATGTATTTAGTATGATATATCCAGGCATACATTGTGTATTTCTACACTTAATCTATTCACAATGTTATTTCTAAGACAAGTGAAACGTACTTGAGCACCTTCAGAGCATATTCAAGATGAATTCAATCTCAAAACGTTTGCTAAATTAAACAGGAAACTAATCGGAATATATCGTGACATTCAGAAAATCAACTTTTTAATATTCAGCGTAGCATTATTTATTTATTTTTAAAATTTTTAAATTTCACTTTTATTTGCTGATTAGAGATATAATAAAAAATCCATTATACGTTAGTCAGCTTTTATTCCAAGTAATTATAATAATTGCTTTTTATATTTTTAGTTATTTTGTATTGTAGGACTTAAAAGGCCATTTTAAGGCCTCGTTATGTTTTTAATGTGGCATCAATATACCAGCGGTGAATGAAAAAGCTTTGGCATATCTAAAACATTTTGTTCTTGGATAACTCATCCGTAGTTTCTTTCCGGTATTCGAATTTGGTTCCTTAGTGCATTAAGAATAACTGAAAATTTGATTTATTCTTGATAGACAAAATATAAATTTACAGTAGAAGTTACCCTGAAAGAACACTTCTGATCAATGAAATAATTAATGATTTTTCTATAAATCATAATCGATAATGAATTGATATATATCGTTTTGCGTATGGTTTAATGAATTAAACCAACTACAAGTGTATTCCACCAAAGAAGGAGTGCTTCCAGGAGGACTTTCTATAAAGAACAAGCTGATATATTGGTAAAATATATCCGATAAACTCCACGTTATCAAACTATTCGAAAAAAGAAAACAATAAACCAGTGTTCAGTGGTTTTACTCATTCGGACAACAGTGGTGTCATAACTGCGAAAAGTGATAAAAAAGTAATAGTACTCTTTTGTGAATCCGGATTTTTTATGGATACATTCTCTGCACATTAAATCAACTCATTGTGTTTTTATTGTTAAGTGCAAATAATTACTCACGTATTAAATATTCATTTACTTTCACTAATAGAACAATTGATTATCATATTTTTAGTTTGAATTAGAAGATCAATAAACCAAATTTATATACTGCAGCATGCCAAATATTGCCGAATAAAAATATAAGACTGTACGAAATGCTCCAATTAGTCATATTAAAACAGAATTTAGCTGCAATCCATTGGCATTAACATTCAGATATCTCTTAAGTAAGGAATCAAGGATTCTAATAGGTTGCTGCGTTGACAGTACATCTTGATGAACTTTACAATCATAGCTGAGGCCCCTATTATTTTCAGCTTTTCAACTGACAAAGAATGTTTTTTGTACAGAAAAATAATGTTGATTTCCAAAATGTACTCACCTATTTGCCAATTGAGAAGAAGTTGCGTAACCATGTTTTATCATTATTGACTACAAATTATTAAATTACAATTTTGGTTGTCAATTTTTGGTAAGTTGCTTTGAGAGTTCTAGCATAAAATGTATCATACTACTTCCATAGATTTTTTTGAAGATTACATCAATGGTAATTATTTACAGCAACGTACTTAAGACACGTCTTCCGAATATCCTCTTTAGTATTACAATGGGAAAAATTGGGGATGAGAGACGGATTCTAACACAATCATCCCCTAAAACGACTTCATTGAGATTTGTTCGTTGAACCTTCAGCTAGTTAAACAGCTTATCTGTCTCGTACATTTTCAATCATTGATTTTTAGAAGTTTACCTTAAATCACGCACATTAATCTACGTAATGCATTTTTGAAGCTAATTTCATTTTATAGATTTAAAAGGAATATAAATTAATAGGACATCACAAAACATTTCAAACTATTTAATTTAAAATATTATTTATAAACAATTTTAAATTCTTAAAAAAACAAAGTGAATTACTTTAATATAACACGAGACTTTTTTTAGAATTAATTTCATGTTATGAAAAGTTATTTATTGTTTACTGTTAATAATTTAAAAACATGTTGTATAAAATTAATATTAGATGATACAATGTCGAACATTAGTCGAAAAAATTATGAATTTTTTCGACTAATGTTATGTTAAGAATTCCGATTCGAGTTTCCTCACCACAATCTCGCAGAGGTCTCCTGCGACTGGGCTTCCCATTGGTACACCACGTTGTTGTTCGTAAGTGGCTCCGTTGAATTTGAAGAAAGAGTTGTGGCAGAGCAGATGTGACATTTCTAGTATGTCCTGTTGTAACGTCTTATCTTGGATCATGTGCATGAGCATATCTCTTATGGCACAAAATTATGAGGGGAGATTGATGGAAGGATATAAAGATTTGAACTCCAGGACAGTTATGAATTTCGGAGGTGTCGATATGTGTTTAAGGATGTTAACTAGGTCTGCCGATCTGGTTATGGTGTATGGGTATCCGTTCTTACCATCTCAACTCCAACACATTCTTCTATACAAAAGATACATCGATGATATCCTTATTCTATGGAAGAAGATCTCAAATATTTCGACGCTAATCGACTCCATCAACAATAACCCCTATGGATTAACGGTGGAATTAGATCAAGCCGACTCTACCCAAGCGCACTTCTTAGACATTAACATCAAAATAGAGGGATCATCCATCAATACAGAAGTGCATCATAAACCAACCGCTCAACCTTTGTATATACCTGCAACATCATGTGACCCACCACAGTATAAGATGGCAGCATTCAATACACTAATCAAAAGAGCATATTCACATTCCTCGTCACAATCAGCTTTCAATTCTGAAATGCGACGCATAGAGCACATTGCTAAACAACATGGCTATCACAACGTCTTATGCAAGATAAACAACAAGGTACTACAACAACAATCCAACAACACCTCTCATTCCAATGATTCCCTGGTTAAGTACATACCANGATTAATCAGACAATCAGAAATATAATTATCTTAGCATTGATTTTAATCATTTAATGCTTATCATTACAGTAATAATATGAATTTGAAATAAAATAGTCTAAAATTGATACCCTAAAAAATATTTTTTTAAATGAAAGCAATAAATATAAATGTTTGACTGTGAATAATATACTGTCATAATTGTTATAAGTAATGTGTTGTTCTTTAAATAACTTTTATGATAGATTTGGTTGTTTAGTAACGCGACGTAACACCTAGACAATCTGTACACCCTTGGCACATTACCTATTTGTTGCTATCAAGAGAGACTTTCTACGAAAAACCAGTTCCATTTTTAACCCTGAGCGAGTCGCTAGGAATGGTGCCCTTACTTGAGTCGCATGGGTCTTTTAGACCCAGTATTTTTAATATAAAATAATTCAATTTTATCTATCGCGTAAACAAACTACAATTTCTTTGTTAGATTCTGCGCTTTGTTTTCTATCTAGTGATATAAATTACTTGTGTATTGACAATACTAATTTTTTAATATTTATTTTTATGTAATTCGATACGAAAAACGCAAAAAATAAACATATCAAATTTCAACTCGCTGTAATTTATGTCCTGTACTTACAAACAAACAGGGATTGCCATCTGGTTTGTTTGTAAGTGGGGAAGAAATATGACACTTTCAAGCGAAGTGAGTAGAACTTTTGCACTACTGTGAGAAAATTTGTGAACAGACCCCACCTTACCTCCTACCGCGAATGTCAATAAACGTTAATTGTTTTATGACTCTATTTTCAACACTTCTCTTCTGAGTTGTAAATCGACTAATTGACAAAGATTTTACTTCATAAGATTACTCATAAGAATATTGTCTTTATGATTTAATAGATAGTTTCGTATGATTTTTAGACATAAATTTTATTTTTAATTTTTTATCTGATATAGTCGTGGGTTAGGCTTAACTCGATCACCTATATTCAAAAATTGACATCGTTCAAAATATTATAGAATCCATCAAAATTATTTGTTGATAGTTTAGTTATAAACGTTTTCTTTGCATTAAATGAAGCGATCGAAAAAGTAATGGGTGGACCATCAAAAATTCGGCAATTTACGACATGTTCTCGATTCTGTAATTTGTTTTCTTCATAATATAAAATCTTTACAAAATAATACTTAAAAAATACATCCATGTCAATACCTGAATGTTATAAAAATGCAATTATCAAAAATTTTGTAATTTTCACAATTTGTATTGTCATAATTTATTTTTGTTTTTTTCTGTCGCGCGTTGCGTATTGCGCGACAACAAAGTCGTAACGCGATTAAACGCAGCGATTTCATTTATAATTACTTAA